CCTTTAGGCCCATTTTGCAATATGGTCCTCCCAATGGAGCTATGCCCCCTCCGCCTACACCAGCAAACCCGAACCCAAGTCCTGCACTCGCTCTCAACGACTCGAAGCCGACGCCTTCCGCGCCGAGTCCGGCACCTCCGTCACCTGCTCCTCAGCAACCACCGTCTCGGCCGCCTTCGTCGGCTGCGAACGAGCCACCCAAAGTAATGCCCTCGCCGCGCCCTTTGGAGCCTATGCGGACCGCCAGTGCGACACCACCTCCGCCACGGCCGGTAGCTCCATTGGTCCCGGCGGTTGCGGCACCAGTCCCAGCAGCAGCGCCGGGAACGCCATCACATCCCGTTCCTCCTTTGGCTGCGGCACCTTCAGCACCAAACTCGCGACCATCGAGCTCAACGCCAACACCGGCTCCGGGTGCCGCAAAACCACCGGCGGCAAAACCACAAGGGACTGATCCCATTATTATGACGTTGGCCGAGAAGGCATCTGAGGACCCTCATCTACGAGACTTGATGAAACGGGTCGCTGCTGGTGAAGCAAAGCCGGATGAACTAAGCAACTTTCAAAAGATCATTGATCAAATCACGGCGGAGTATAAGAGGAAGGGAGGGCAACAGGGTCCTTCAGCTGACAGGCTATTGGTTGACGGGAGGACAGTCAAGTATTTTGCCGACGAGGTACGGACCATTCTAGACATCGTACTTGCTACGAATCCGAAGCAAAAGTCATCAGAACTTCTACCCCCGCGCGGAAGCGACCCTTTGGTTGTGGCATTGGTGAGGGCGGCTCTGGATGCGAAACCGTTGCAAACTATGATCCGACGGATAGCTGAAAACAAACCTGGCTTCACCGACGCCACCGACCTCAAAGCATCTCTCGACAAGTTACACAAGGAACTCAAGAGTGCGCAAAACACCCCGACGCCTCAAACCCCGACGACACAAGCTGCCATCAACGGCACCGCGAATGGGCACCCCGCCAAACCCGCGGCAGCTACGCCTGCTGCTTCACCGGCCCCGACTCCAGCGGCCCCACAAATACAGCATCCTCCTCAGCAAGCGCTTCGGTCAAAGGGTCCCCCGCCACCTGCGAGGCCTGAGATTTCAGGCGTTTGCCTAGACTTTGCTGGTGGAAATGGCGATCGCTACCTGTTCCCAAAATACAGCATTCTCGAGTATCTGCCCGGCGGACAGCAGGCTATCGCATCGTTCCTCATTGTTCGCAAGGGCAGCCAGCTGGAGTATGGAGGTGATGCCAAGCTCGACTACTACCAGCCTGTCACCGTTCGGCTATACGCTCAGTCAGCTCGTCACCTCGAGTACCTGCAGAGAGCGGTGGCACCCCAGGAAGAAGTCATGAGGTACATGGACGATGTGATGGACAACATGACGAGGGCAGAATACGTCCTACTCGCCATGCGTTTGCCACGAGGAGAGCAAGAACCCAACAGTGAGCAAAATGGCAAAGATACCCCTGGCCCAAGCGGCCAAATAGCGAGACCGGAGTCAACAGCACCAGATCATCCGGCTCCCAAGCAGCAGTCAGTGCAATGGGGACCCGTGACGTCCAAATTCGTTCGGAGTTTCAACAAGAAATGGTTTGAAGAGTGGAAGAGAACCGAAAAGACAACGGGCAAGAAGCCCTCTTCGGCAGATGAGGTCTTCCAAGAGTCCTGCGAGGCCGTCGGCCGCGACCCCCTGGACAAGGACATAGAATACGAGAAGATGATTGAGCTCTTGGCGGCTAAGGACTCCGAGTCATCATCTTCTTGAACTCGACACAGCTAGAAAGCGCACCGTGTATTACCTAGACGACACACCAAAGCGGGCTACTGAGGATTGGGGGCCTCGAGTGAGGAGGGTAGGTGTCGTACTGAGCATTTGGGTCAGGTCCGTCTGTTCGCGTTGCATAAGGCACGAGATGGCCTTTTTTCCGCACTAAGTTGTTGTTGTTGCTACTTTGTTGTTCACGTTACTGTACAGAGCAAAGGATTGGGATCTGATTCTGTTTTTGATTGGGAAAAGGGGATTGGAGTGGTCTATCACAAGAGGGGTATGCCTCTCCCCGCATACTATTTTTCATCTTTATTCCAATTCGGTGTTTGAGAGTGTTGAAAGGCCTAGGGCGTGGAATTTGGGATGTGGTGTGGCTCAACTCATTTTTATTATTACCCCCAAAACCCCTGCTTCGATGGAGTTGTGGGACAGTGGAGTGAGGTAGTGGTCAGATATGTATGTGAGCATTGGCATGCCTCACTGCTGCTCATCTTACCAGAAAATAAAGAATATAACAAGTACATTTGCTGTTCCGGGCTCGCGTTGGTTACTGCTTTTACTGCTTTGGTTGGAGATGTCCCCCAGCCTACCCACCCAGTCGCTGATCAATCCCCCTGAACTGAGGTCATGTCAGCCCTGACGAAATGCTCCCGTCATACGACCCCCCGAAGAATGATCAGATTTGATGAGTGCACCGCGAGTTGTCTGGGACTATCCTAGACTGAAGGAAGCAATGGCAATAGATCATCAACAGCCCGTTGAACAACGGATACGACGTGCAACGGTGAGGTCAATAGCCAATCTCGCTGACAGTGGCTCTAGAGTCTCACCTTTTGAGAGCCTTTCATGCCCAGACTAGAGAGGCGGGAGCAGCTCGCCATCTTCATGCTGGCATCAAAGAGGTCCAAAAATCAGCCACAGAAAAAATAAAATAAAAGAGTTCACCCCCCCAGTGCTGAACTGGGGGCTACATCTCTTGGCGCTCATGCTGGGATTCGAACTCGGATATTTGGAGCCTGTCGTCGAGTAGGTTTTGGGGCGCAATTTGATTGTTTACCTTGAACCACCCCACCACCCAGCCAGTTTGACCTGACCCCCCGACCTAGAGGGGCGCCTGCTGGCTGGTGACTGGAATGGGATTGAGGGGGGGTATAAGGGCTTGGTGTCGTGGTGTATTCGTCCATGGGCGGTGTGAGATGCGAATATGCAAATCGAGGCGTTTCCTTTGGGGGGCCATGGAGTTAAGAAGGGGATAGTGGTCCCCAAGTGTTGTGCTTCATATCTTATTAGTAAATACATTTTCCTAATACTAGTTAGTACAAGGTATGGCGATGACTTTTTGGAAGAGATGAATAGAACATAAGGAAGCTCAAAATTTCAAGATAATTCTCAGCGGCACTTTCTTGTTTGTCTTACTCCTTTCTGCCTCCAGGAGTAAATTTCAAGGTACCTTACTTCCCCTAGTAAATCCTCCTCGAGGTGGAAGAAAGCGCACACTACTTCCATCTCTATTCCTATCCATTCTCCTTCCGTGTCTGCTCACCTGCCATGCCTTAGAGTTCCTTCCTTCCACTTGAGTTCCCGCCTCAAACGCCTTCCCCCCAACTAGCATTTAATCTAGAGCCAATCCTCCTCACCTCCATGCAATCTGGGTGTTCAGGTCCGTTGGCCGAATGGTCCACCGAAGCTTCATCACTGACCTTAGGGTATAGGTGGGCCAGAGGATCAATACCGGCTCGGGTTGCTTTTGATTTTTTTCGACTTTTGGCTGTCTTATAGAACGGTTTTGCTTTCTCATATAAGAAGCCTTTTTAAGAAGACGTGCACGCAAAGCTTACGTGGCAGGCAAAAGCAGGCAGGTGAGTGTGAGCGTCACCTTTCTGCAGTTTTCTAGTAAGTATATGTGCCAGTGAGTGTGCATGATCTCTTCCTTGGTCGTCGACCGCCCTGACCGCATCCTCCGCCTCTCGCAAAGCGTCCCTCAGCACTTGGTCAGACTCATGGACTGTATTGAAACCGATTCCACGTGGGCGATTATCTATCGCTGCTACTTCATTAAGATCAATCCTTTTTGCATCTTTCAGACCTAGGTAGGAGACCTGACGGTAGCTGGATGAGATTCATATCTAGCCTGCGATATCGTACGCTTGACTGAAGAGAGCTATCACTCACTTTTGAAGTAGAGATTGCAAACGGAGGATGACGGTCTGCAGAAATAAGTGTGAAGCAGCATTGTAGTTATGTTCGAAATGAGGTACTCCTCCTCTCATACAGTCATATCTATCTCTTTCATCACCAGATGATCAAGAAACAAACTCGATACCACCACATACTTGATGCAAATGGTCAAGTTGACCCATTAGCTATTCAAGAGCTGTTTCAGGGAACTTGACGGATACAGGTCTACGTCGAGATTTCCGGTATCAGTCCAAATTGTTGAAGAGCAGTCAGTGGCTCGCTCGGGAAACTCGTCACCCGTGGCACGCGATCCCGAAAGCCGAATGCGCACAATCGATGCGGAACCATTTGCAATCCCATGGAAATCTCTCATCCAGATGATGATCTTTCCTCGCCGTGTGGGTATGAGTAACCTAACTCGAACAAGACTATTCCACTCGAAAGTCACCTCATCGCCTAGCAAAAGCGTGGGGACACGTTCGTCTCGCTCGTGTCTCTTCATGCCTTGATGATCAACGTGAGCAACAGCAAGAAGTACTAACCCCACTCCGACGCCGGAAACGTGGTTTACCCCGCGGGAAGAAAACGTTAGTTCTGACGACGACAGGATATATTGAAACTCACAGTCACGGGCCGTCGACATGTGGTTGACGGCTTAGGAGAGGCGTTTGAGGGTTTCAACACCACATGTTCGACTTTTAGCCCTGAAAAGCCCTTGAAATACGACTTCTTGCTTCTTTTCTGTTTTTCGAGATGCCGCGTTAGAGTAGAGCCATGCGGGAAGAAGCGCCATCTCTTGAGTAGAGTTCCATCGCCAACTTTTCTCGGGAAACCATCCATCCAGGTGAGCGTACAATCGGGTATCACGCAGAATCTACTCCGCCCCGAAACTCAATTCACAAGACGATGCAGTCTGTAGATATTCAATATGTCTATCCGACAGAGATGCCATGATGATCTATATAACAAACGATCCTCCTCATAATCCTCCTCTTCAATTCCCTCATCATCACACTCGTTTTCATATCCTCATCCCAATCCCTCACAATGAAGTCCCAATTCCTCCTCCCAGCGGCACTGCTGACTCTCACCCATGCCGCCACAATCCCCGAATCCGCAAAACCAATCATAGTCCCAGACTCAGTCCTCGACGCCGCCATCCGTGAACCACTCCAAAACTTCATCACCGGCCCCGTCCATGGCATAGACCCCTCCGCCTTCTTCTCAGTCACCACCCTCTCTGAGAATGACGAATACAAACTCGCCGCCGCGGGCGAGGTAGCCTGGGCCGCCATCGAGCTCGAGGTCTCAGCCGCCTTCGTCGGCTCCGACTCCATCTCTGCTTCTGACGAGGGCGAGAACCTGCGTGATGCCGCAACCGTCGCGATGAACTCCATTGCGAGGAGCGGTGTCCCTCCTCCTCCTCCCCACCCTCCTCATTCGGACCCCCCGCACCGGGAGCCGCATGGGCACCATGAGGGTATCACTAGGGAACAGCTTTGTGAATATTACAAGGGCATTGCGTGGAAGACTGGGGGCTTGCAGACTGCTGTGTATCAGTGGCAGTATGAATATGTTCCTTGGCTCGTTCACAACAAGGGACCTTACATTGTAGGTCTTCTCCCTTGCGTCCTCCGTGTGATGAACTTGACTACCTCCTCGACTTCGTCCCGCCACCTTGACCTCATGAGTCCTTTCTAAAGAACTCACTGACCACCACCTCAGGTTGTCCTAGACGGCCTCCGTCACATCGAATGGGTCCTCTGGAAAATTGAACAAGCCCTCGTCAACGCACACTTCCACTACGAAGATGAACTCGACATCCTCGCATGCTACCAAGAGGTAAGCCACTCCCCTCCTCCTCCTCCCCCTTTCACACCCATACTTTCATCAGGACTAACAGAATCGCAGTACTCCGGCCGCGAACTCCAAATCACCCACGTCCCAACAACAGCTCCCGCCCTGCCCACCCAAACAACAGCAAACATGACGATCGGCCTCCCATCAAACACAATGGCCCACCACCCCCGTGCCCTCGACGAGCAACTCGTCACCACCACGGTCACCATTCAACCCACCAGGCCCACCACACCGCCGCCACCAGGACATCCAGAGAACAACAACAACAACAACAACAACAACAACAACAACAACAACAACAACAGACCCGAAGAGGCCGGCACCTCGTGGCCTCACCTCCCCTGGCGCCGCGATCACCCGTCCCTGAAGAAGCTCCTTCGCCTCATCACGGCCAAGGCACCCGTGTCAAAGTACCAGTCGTACGCGAACCACCGCATTTACAATGTCTTGAAGCAGCTCGAGTACACCGCGTTGGTGAGTGAAATTCCTTACCCCTATTTTTCCTACTCTTCTTCTTTGCTGCAAAGTATCCGTGAAATGATGTGGAAACTGAGATAATAACCACGTATTCCTCCGACAATAGGCTTCAGCCAATGCCCTGCACAGCAAGTTGAAGGATCCGCACCACCAGTCTTTGCTCGACTACGATATCTGGAAGGGGCAGGGTATTAACCACGCCTTTGAGGTGGCTATCAACGCGTATGAGGTCAAATGAGGGACGGGGTAGACGCCACTATCCCGCTTCCTCGATGTTTGTCATTCTCTGAACAGTAAGGCGACTTCATGGACGTCACGGAGACTCTTGGGGGTTGGCGGTATGTGGTGGCTGAAGGCCAGCCAGGCTCAAGTGTGGACGAGATTGGAACCCAACGGGAATTTCATATACTTAAATAGACTTGTCATCAACAGGAATTCGTGGGAAACTGAAACATCATCGTTCTTGGGATAATCTGTGGGAATCCTATGCTCTAAAAAATCAATAAACGCCTCGTCTAGAGCACCTCTGAAATCAATGTCTTGTTGCTCTAATAGTAGCAATGCTCATGAACAGTAGTTAAGAGAACAACTCGTTAGAGACTCAAATCATGGAGCCACCACTCTGGTTGTTGCCCACGAGGCCAGCCATTTCCAGCAGTGCACGATCAGCCTCAATGTCGCCAGAACCCAAATTGATCTTCCGTCGAGCTTCCGCCTCACGATGCTCCCACGCCCAGTGCTCCGCCTGTGCCTTGGCTTCTTCGTCCCCTCCACAGCCCCATACTTCCAGACTCTCAATCTCGAACCGATCTTGGAAGTCAAACTTGCGCGTTGTGCTTGTTTGGAAGGCTCCACCACCAGTGGTCCAGTCGTGGGTGAACACTCCAAACTCGAAAGAGTCGTCAAGGAGCAAGGAGACGGCGCCGAGAGATAGCATAGTCTGCCTCCGGTGAGCTTGCGTCTGTCGAGGATGGGGGCATCCGACGCCTAGCATAGGTCGATTAGTAGGCGCCTTGGTGAAGGCGACGTAGTCTGAGTTGTACTTGGAAGCTGGGAACACATCATGGACGGGCTCCAGCTGGAAAAGCACTGTGTCTCGTTCGCCAAAGCATTCCTTGGCCGTGTGCTTCCATGATTGACTGACATAAACGCCGAAGGTCAGGCGCTCTCCCTTGCCGCTATTCGGGAAGCGACGCGGAGGGATGGAAGCGGCGAAATTTGACTCTTGGCTGCCATGGGGCTCGTCATTTAGGCGAGTGCCGCGCACCAAAAGGATGGTGGGTGCTCGCCAGTTGAAGACTTTGCTCTCGAAGCTTCCGGTGGAGAAGCCGTCCTCATTACCTGAGTACAGAAGTCGCAGTCGTCTAAAAAGATCGGATCCTGGGAGGAAGAAGGACAGTTGCGAAAGGACATTGAGGTTGAGAATCTCCGCAGTGTCTTGCAGTAAAGGTTGCACAACTTCCTCTGGCTGCTTTTCGGCGGTCACGGGGTCTTCACCCTTGTGTTTTGTGAAGTCCAGGTTTTTGGAGAAGAGAAAGTGCTCAAATAGGGGGCTGAAGCCATTGAAGAGGTTCGGGAAGCATACAGGAAGCACTCGGTTGAAGTGGCCGAACTTGATGCCGGGGGCTTTTTCGACATTCAAGAAGGCAGCCAGGATGTTCTCTGCGGTAGCACGCAGGCTTTCCAGTTCATCGCCCGTGACTCGAGTGGAGTACATTGACAGGCTCTCTTGGGGACTCAGCGGTGCAATCAGGATCAGTAGCATCAGCAGCTTGCGGAAGTTATCCGCGGGTATCATAGCCCCATGCATCTTTGGCGCATCGCCTTGCCAGACGGCATCGTGGATATCGAGGAGCTCGAACGCGGCAATCTCGAGATCGTCATCATCTTCCTCGGGGTCGTCCACAGGTTCGTCGACTGCGAAGCCAGCCGCATGGCTCGCGGACTGGGGTGCATTCGGCGGCGCCTCTTTGGAGTCTTCGACAGCAGCAGCAGCTTCGGATGCCCTGCGATCGTGTACTGCCAGACTCTTAAAGAGAAGCTTGGCCCTATCCGTAGCTCCCTTGGCCAGAACTCGCTTGTGTCTTTGCGTCATGATAACGATGACCATGATCATCTGATCGATACCGAGAACCGCCGGAGCATCCTGCAAGAAGGGGAAGGCGCCGATGTAGGATACCATCTGAAATATGACAGGCGAGACGTGGAGGATATCGGGTATTTCGAGGAACCGTGCAAGAGTGTCTTCCTTCAAGTAGCGGATGTCGCCTTGGTTATCTGCCAAGCTCTTGAAGACATCTTTGAACGAGTACAGCTCGAGCGAGGTGAAGCACTTTTCGGCGAATCGAGTGGCCTGACATACGAAGTGGTAAGTACAAAGCACAATCTAGATGTTGGGGGATCATGATTCGAGGAAGAAGAGTGGTGTGTGGTGTCTTGACGGATGGTGCACTCAGCGACTTACGAGTTCACGGGTGAGCTCCTCGTGCGTCGCCTGCCGCGAGTTCTCGTCAGACAAGGCTTGTCCCATGATGAGCTTTGTATTTCGGTTCAAGAGGCATCGAAGTCGGGGTTTAGAGGTGTACAATATGCTGTGGCACAATCATCACCAGCCATGGCCATGTCGAAGTAGGAGGAGGGAAGAGGGAGAGAGAGGGAGAAGGAGGAAGAGCATGGATGGGAAGGTTGATGACGGAAGACCCAATGTCTGGGGTGCATCCTCCATCAGGAGACAAAGCGACGGACGGCATTAGCACAGCTCAGCGCCTAGACTTTCAGCGTGTGTCAGACCAGTGCGGGTCTCCCGTCTTTCCCCCAGCAGTGGAGGAACCCCGCTAACGTCACTGTCACTGGCCCGAGCTCCCTGCCCCTCCATGCGAGTTTTAGTCATCAGATGCAGCACACCTCCGACCTCAGTTGACTTACACTTGCAGATGCCTTCTCTCACCTTGGCATGTGAATAGTATCAGTTGACGAACATCAGAGAAAGGGGAAAGCAAAGTCGGATTGACAAACCCGAAGTCCGCCTACAGGAGTTGAACCCGTAAGCTAGAGTGAAGGTAGTGCTGCACTCAGGATTACCTCCGTGTATTAACCATCTTAAACTTCTGGGCAACTGTCCCGTCTTAACTGATAGGAGGAACAAACTGGTCCATATACCTGCAGTATAGAATGAGTTGACGAATACCCAATGTTCATAGACTTCAAGTATCTTATCTACAAGGCCATCTCGACGCCCACCTAGATTCTACCTTCAACACCAATTCAATCTTGTCTCACCAGCTCGAATCTGCCCCCGTCGCCCCGGCAGCCTTGCACCTCCGCCTGATGTTACAATTTTCCAAAGCACCATAGAGGAAGAAACATTTCTCATGTTGGTAACACTCCTTGCATGTGACGCTAAGTTACGTCCTCGACTCTAGATTAGCGGGGCACACAATGTTAGTAAGACATCGTAGGCTGATTCCTTCTCCAGACACCATGGTAGCAGTGATGTGTTGCGACCATCCAGAGCGGGTAGTGCTGTAGAGAATGCTCGATATGATTGCAAAGTTAATAGATGTTGGCCATTTGATGAGATGCTGATCTTTGGTCCGGATATCCCCAGGGTCATAGACAACCCACAACTCCTCAGAGCCATGCGACAAATTACCCGCATGGAAAGCAAATTTGTGTAACCACGCTGTAAATCCAAAAGTAAGCAAGCTGGGTCCCGTTGCTCAAGCCTCACGGTCATGTCGTTCACATCCGGTCGGTGCAGAGGCCATCGTGGGGATTGCCTGAAGGCAGTTATAGTCCCCCGGTGAGTCCTTAGTAGCCGGTCATTTGCGACGAGCGTCTCGATGCCCGTTTCGGGGGATGTACGAGTAGTGACCCGCCTAGTAACAAAGCAACTTCGCCAAGGGCTGTCTCATCTTCTGTATCCGCGAGAATAGGAGAAAATTAATCATTCAATTCAACCCAGATGCGCCGCCAGCTGCCCCCGATTTTATATACGACGGAGCGGAGTCTTCAATGAGACAATGTGCCCGTCCTAGACGTCGATGCCAATGCCAGTACTGTACAATGTAGCCGTGATGTGATACAAATCAGAGTGTCGACCCCCCTCTGTTCATCCTTATTTCTTGGGCTCTTCTGATGACCCTTCGGATGACGATGGCTTTCTGCCGTAAATCTCGCCAATGGCACCAAGCGAGCTCTTGGGGTTCTCCTTCTTCTGCGACTTCTCCTCAGCCGGCTTCTCAACCGCAGCAGCATCGCCCTCCTCCGGCTTCTTCCACGCTGACAAGCCCAGCGCACCCAGGACACCGCCGGTCTTGCCCTTCTCTCCCTCGGCCGACGTATCGTCGCCGGCGTTCTTGGCATCGAGCTTCGCCCTCCTCTGCAGCATCCTCGCCTTGAGCGCCTTCTCCTCCTCGTCGCGGGCTTCGAGCTCACGGATCCAGCGCTGGCGCTGCTCTTCGGCGTCCTTGGCCTCCTTGATCTTGCGCAGCTCGGCGGTGCGTTCGCGGTCCTTGTTGTAGTACATGCTGCCGGCGACCATGGCGAAGACGGTGAAGCCCTGGGCGGCGACACGGGCGCGGAACATCTTGTTGGCTTGTTTGGCGTCGCCGCGGCGGGTGGCGCGCCAGGCGTTGACGAAGGCGAAGACGGTCAGACCACATCCTGTGTTTGCGACACTGGTTAGATTGGTTTGATGCAGCAGGTTTCCGGGAGAGAGAGGGGCAGTGGTGAGAGCAATTGCTTACCTAAGGGGATCAGAGGCTCCTCCCTGAGTTTGCGGAAGGCCTTGTGAAGAACGCGCTCATCGTAGAATTCGCTGCGGGTTGCGTGCGTGGGTTAGCAAACCTCCAAATGCTAGGCTTTTGGTGATGTTCAAGCTCCCGCAGAGCCCGAGAGTGGTGGGTGGGCTGGCTCACTTGTTTTCGTCAAAAGACGATGGCATAGGCTGATCGAGCAACGAGGGTTTTCCGTCGGGGCCGGGCATCGTCGCGGTTTGCAATTGACGTTGTGGTGGTTGAAAAAGTCGCACTCGTGGAGTTGGGAGTTAGTCGTGTGATTATTCCCCTAGGGTGCAGTGGTCGGCGAATTCGATGATGAAATGGACTCCGAGACCCTCCTAGCTTTCGGGGACTGGCTGCACGGCGCCCAGAGCTTCGACCCTTGAGCAGATTTGCGGCAAATCCCGACCGGCGCCGTGTGGCTTAACTTGCTCTCTTCAGCCACATTTCGTTCTTCTTGGGGTCTTATCAGAGTGGGTCTTATCTTATCATGGGATTGTTATATAAGATAACATGACGCACAGTCTATGTTCGATAAGACACCCCGGTCTGCAGTGTCAGCGATGTCGCCCTCATCTCCCAGCGTGACGGACACTGACGGCAGGGGGGAGCGCGACGCCCTTGCTGACGCTACAGCAGGTACAAGGGTGCCACAGCCAATCCCCAGCGCCAGAGAAGCTGCTGACAGGGCGTGGACGGCAGCGCTGGCCAACACACCGCAAGAAAAACCGTCTGATGTTCTACCCCGCGAGCCCGACTTGCGCTCCGATATCTGCCCCACTATGAACAAATTTCCAGTTTAATTCTGGCCGGTCTGGTCCCGTTCATTAGGTTGTTGGGGCCCGCCATTCGTGACTCTTTCTTGGACCATTCCTCTACCTCTGTCCCGGCCTCAGTGACTCCTCTTCTTCTCACCAACACTGTTTCGAAGACATCACGAAAATGTCAGAGAACGCAGAGCCTCCCGTCGTCGCCGTCATGACCAACGGAACCCTCAATGGCGTCAATGGCGACCATCCGCCGCGCCCAAGAACACCGCAACCCGCCGGCATGTCCTTGACCGAGTACAGCGCCAACCCGTCCACGCCGCCAGAGGAAAGAAGGAGCCGCATCAAGGGTGTTGTTCCCGAGGACTTTCTGCTGCCTGATGGCCACCCAGACGTGAGAATTATCCCCAGCGATCATGTCAATGGCTCAATTGGGACCTCAGCTAAACATTTTGTGCGCCTTTAGTACCTCCGAATGATCGCCGCCGCAACGTCCCGCGTCTACGAAGCCTGTAAAGTCACACCGCTCCAGCCCGCCGTCAACCTCAGCAACAGACTCGAGTGCAATGTTCTCCTCAAGCGCGAGGACCAGCAGCCCGTCTTCAGCTTCAAGCTGCGCGGCGCCTACAACAAGATGGCCCACCTCGACCCTGCCGTCAGCTGGAAGGGCGTCGTCTGCTGCTCCGCCGGCAACCACGCTCAGGGCGTCGCCTACTCGGCCCGCAAGCTCAAGATCCCCGCCACCATTGTCATGCCCGAAGCCACACCCAGTATCAAGCACCTCAACGTCGCGCGCTTGGGTGGACATGTCGTGCTGCACGGTGCCGATTTCGATGCCGCCAAGGAGGAGTGTGGCCGAAGAGCGGCGCAGGACGGTCTGATCAACATTCCGCCCTTTGACGACCCGTACGTCATTGCGGGCCAGGGAACCATTGGTATGGAGTTGTTTGGTCAGATCAACATGTCCAAGCTCGATGCCATCTTCTGCTGCGTCGGAGGTGGTGGTCTCATCTCCGGAATCGGTGTCTACGTGAAGCGCATGGCGCCCCATGTCAAGATCATTGGTGTCGAGACCTACGACGCCAATGCGCTGGTCCAGTCCTTGGCCAAGGGAGAGCGAGTGGTCTTGGACAGCGTCGGCCTCTTTGCAGACGGTGCCGCCGTCAAGACCGTCGGCGAGGAGACGTTCCGCCTCTGCAAGGACGTCGTTGACGAGGTTATCCAAGTCACCACCGACGAGGTCTGCGCGGCTATCAAGGACATGTACGACGACACCCGCGCCGGTCTCGAGCCCGCAGGCGCCCTCTCCATCGCCGGCCTCAAGAAATACGTGGCCCAGAACCCGAGCGATCGCCGGAAGACCATGGTGGCCGTCACCTCTGGCGCCAACATGAACTTTGACAGACTGCGCTTCGTCGCTGAGCGCGCCACCCTCGGCGAGGGCAAGGAGGCCCTTCTGGCGGTCAGCATCCCTGAGAAGCCCGGTGCCTTCTCCAACCTCATTACCAGCATCATGCCTCACTCCGTCACCGAGTTCTCATACCGCTACGCCACCGATGAAGTCGCCAACGTCCTCATTGGTATCTCCCTAACAGCGCCTGCATCGCAAAGAACGCAGGAGTTGCAGATGCTTCTAGAGCGCATCAGGTCGCACGACATGTCGGTGACGGATCTCTCCGGCGATGAGCTCGCCAAGAGCCATATCCGGTACCTCGTCGGCGGTCGCTCCAACGTGCCCAACGAGCGCCTGTACATGTTCAACTTCCCTGAGAGGCCCGGCGCTTTGGAGAAGTTCCTCATGACCCTGCGTCCCAAGTTCAATATCAGTCTGTTCAACTACCGTAACTATGGTGGTGATACGGGCAAGATCTTGGCAGGCATTCTCTGCCCTGATAACGAGGTTGATCAATTGGAAACGTTCTTGACCGAGATTGGATACCCGTGGGAGGACTGCACCCAGTCGGCCGTCTTCAAGACTTTCCTCCGTAGCTAGAGAAATGGAGGCTTGAAAACCCGATTACTCGGTTGATTTTCGTACGGCGCTGGGAGTTTTGCAAACATTTGGGTGACAGAAAACGGAACATTGGGAAATATCACGCATGCCGATGCAACTTAGGGGAAGCGAAAAGCCGCCTCTTGTAGATAGACTATTCAAACTCAATTAAAAGTTATTTACATGAACCTTTTCCTTTCCTCCATGTCAAAGATAATTCGCTGTCCGTTACAATCAAAATAAAATCATCCCATCGTCGGTACCTTTTCGTCCGATACCGCAATAAAGCGATAAGAGTTCTGGCTCCGATAAGCGCACGGACCTCAGCACCACGTGATCAACGCCAAGCCGTCGAAAATGCTCCAACTGAGGCCATCCAGGCCCCCTTCATCACCAGAGCAGTCGGCATCGCGAAGCTCCACGCCTCACCACGAAATACGGCTCGCGTAGCTCCGGACAGCTCTCAATCCACAGGTCTAGTGCTCTAGCACCAATAAGACTTCCAAACCACCAGAGCCCAAGCTCCTGACTCCCACCGTGTCCGATCAATCCCCTCACAATCCACCCGACAAAACATCAACTAGGAAAATCGAGAAAAATACTACACAATGGCTTCCTCCCTCGCCGCCTCCCTCAGGGCCCTGACCCTCAGCACCGCCCGCGCAACGATTCCCCGCGCCGCCAGCACCGCTGCCACAGCCACGGCGACGCGCGCTCTATCGACGGCGGTCCTGACGAAGCAGCCGGCGCAAAAGAGCGAGTCGATGCTCGCGCAGGTCGGAAAGAGCGCCTCGGGCATGGTGAATGCCGTGGTGCAGCAGACGAGGGGGATGAAGGTGCACAGCTCCGTCAAGAAGAGGTGTGAGCACTGCAAGGTGAGCCTATGCCTTTTCCATGTTTATGGGGGAGAGGGAAGGCCGTTGGAGGATGGGCTAAGTTGATCCGGGGAGGTGTAATTGAGGATCTGGACGAGGGCGGGGAATTTGAATCGTAACAGAGATTTTGCTATGGAACCTTTTGCTAACTTTGTGCGCCACAGATTGTTAGACGCAAGGCGGGCAAGAGACATAACGGATACTTGTACGTCATCTGCAAGGCGAACCCCAGACACAAGCAGCGCCAATCTTGAGAGATTCTTCGGTTCTGGGTTTAGAGAAGGAGGCTATCAACAAAGTCGTGTGTATGAAAACCTTGTACCATACAGAGAGGAGGGACGGAGGGAAGCTCGGTGTCATGGGGCATTGGGCAACCGACAGCACGTGAGATGTTGCAACTGTAGACAAGTTGAGAGACGACCATGGGAGCGATACCATTACCCCACTGGAATTCTAGAAAGATCCCCCTCCATCACCGGGCACCTTGCAGCTGTAGAAGCAAATGGCAGCGAGGATTAGGCCTTTTGTGGTGTGTATTATACAAAGATTTTTTTACTGGTTTTACAATGATGAGAAGTCTACATTCCGTCAACGTATCGTTCCATGCCTTGCCACTCCGTCTTGCCGGTTGAGATGAGATAGCGAATGTGTCCCTAGAGCAGGACATTGTCAGTCTCGTGTGAATGTATGAATGAGAGGTGAGGGGACAGAGAATATAGAAGCTTACGAGATCCGTCACATCTCGGTGGCGCTCAAATTCATCGCGGGCATACCGTCTCGACTCGGCGCGGGTGTTTGGGTCGGCAATGCGCCGTGTGCCACGGATGATTTCACGGTAGAGGGATATGACGCGGGATCTCTGGAGGAACTGGGGAGAGTGTGAGCATATACACATATAATTGACACGCGAGTATTAATCCACATGCTTGAACGCCATTGCTATGTGAAGAGCTGAAGGAATGAGGTGAAGAGAGAGGGTGAAAGTCATGGTTCTTACATGATCTAGGCTCAAGGCCTTCTTCCCGAGCCGCGACCTGGCCGGCCTGGTAGAGTAGCTGCGGACAATTGACCACAGGGGAGTTTTGAAGGGCATTAGGGCCAAGTAATGGAAGGGTCCAACTGCATCTGCGAAGTAAATGTGAGATTGAATGAGTCTCGGCTCAATTGGAGGTTGATTTCTCTCACTTACCAATATCAAATGAGAGTCCTGCGCTTTCATGCTTTCAAAGCCAATTGGCGCACCCCAGACGTGGTGTGGAAACTTTTGGGAGTGGTGAGGTCAGGACGGGGAAACCTCGGGACTCCTTGCCAGCGCTCCCGTCAGCTAGGGTCTGGGTCTCATGCAGGCTGCAGCGATAGCTCTCAGTTCGGTAATAGAGCGCTTACCAGTGTGGCATTAGAATGTGCATCTACACCGAATTCACACCCTCGGTTTCACTTCACCCAATTCTCACGATACCAAACGCAAAGTTGGTCGCTTTCTCTCCGATCTAGCTTGTAGACGAGTCACACAGCTCAGATATCTTTCCGTCTCTAAGTGAAGAATGGCGCCACCCCGCAAGCGCCGCAGGGCCCCGACCAACCCCATCGAGGCAGCGAACCGCAAATCCGACGCCGACTTTGTCAGGGACCATCTCCAGCCCAGGTTCGTCTCACATCCACGCAGGCGTATCTCAAGATACCTCCGAACCTCTCACGGGCGCTCAAATCTCACACCACGATGCCAGCCCCGAGTGGACGAACTGGACGCATCCCAAAAGCGGCACGCCATACACCCTCTCACTCAAGTCTCCGTCGCAACTCTCGCGCAGTGAGTTGCAAGCATGCTTCAATCTGATCGACTATACCAGCGGAGCCGATTACCGCGCTTCAAAAGATGGGTGGCGGCCAGGGCATAAAATGAGGGAGATGAAGAGTGAAGGATTGCGGTATATCCTCGTTAAAAAGTCTGATGTGTCGCTACCTGGTGCAGCCGCTGCTGGTAACGACAAGAGTGAAGAGGGTGAGGAGGTTGCGGAGGAGAAGATTTGTGGGTTCACGAGTCTCATGCCTACCTTTGAAGAGGGCGAGGCTGTGGTCTACTGCTATGAGATCCACCTCCTGGAGGAATTACGAGGGTGAGTTTTGGGATCTTTCCTGCGTCTTTTCCTGCTCGAAGGATGAGCCCGGATGAGGGTAACCGGCGCGGGGACCGGTAGCCGGGGGGGCTCAGCGCAGTGCGCCGTCAGCATCAACCCCCGGGAGGAATTTGGATCTCACGCCGGAAGCCCACACCTCAAGCTGCCAATACTGTGAAGACAACTGACCAGAGTTACGATGCAGCACGGGCGTGGGCCGTACACTTATGGATTACCTCGTAAAAGTGGCGGAGAGCATTCCCAAAATTGAAAAGGTCATGTTGACCTGTTTCATCGCCAACGCGGGTGCGCGCGCATTTTACGAGAAGCTTGGCTTCGAGATTGATGCGCTGTCACCCGTGGAGAGGAAGTTAAGATTTGGAAAGGTGTTTGTACCGGATTATGTTATCATGAGCAAGAGGGTTCGTGATAAGAGCAAGGGTGAGGTAAGGGAGGGCGTGGATGAGGTTGGTGCAGTGAATGAAGAGGCGTGATGTAGATCTTGAGTTGATGTGCCGCTGGTTGCTCCAACATTAGATACCGTGCATCCTCGGAGATGGACTGAAAAAAGAGGGCCTGCGAAGAGCAAACCTATCTAGATTACTGAGTACTAGACAGCATCGAGCGTTACACGATGAACATATGCTGCATCGTCAGGTGTCAATCATAGACCACTTTGACAAGCAGTGTACCAGATGATCTAGCAGTGAAGCAAGTCAGGCTGGAGGAAATGACAGACCATACACAGAGCTGAAACCCGCTTGACAAAGCCGCATCTAAAGTCTTACTTCCTTCCGTAGGACCCTTCAAAATGGTAAGATGAGATGGAATGACAGGGTCTAGTAGGTGTAACCAAAGGAACTTGCAAGGGGCGTAGAAAAGGGGACCGCTGCAGGGCCTGTAAATTCTAACCTAAAATCGGTGGACCGTTCCCACTCATTCGCCAGAATCATCGCAGCTATTGGATTCGAGTGCAGTGAGCTGAGCTGAGCTGAGTCTTGAACAACTCACTCACGCTTCTTCTCACATACCGTGGCACCTTTCTCCACGACTCATGTTTGAACACCACGGTCAGGATCAACTCAATCCTGTGTCTGCCTACGTTAGTCGTGCCGATCACTGTTGGCCCCATCTTCATCTTTGGATCGTCCAGAGCCCGTTCAATGGAGGCACGACGGAGTGAGGCCCGGCCCACACCCGGCAGGCATTTCTTCTCAAGTTGGAGAGAGGAAGCGAAGCGTCTATACCACAGGCACTGCGACCAATGACCCTGTCTCTCATGTTACACACTTTCTCACCACGTGCCAACAGTCAGCGGCTCCCAATCTCACCGTCTCACGAAAAGATACCTACGAAAACGAAGGTGAAGTCAATGCCCCTTACATAGAGAGGAAATGCCAAACACAGCCCTCAATCTGCCTCGCGAAATCCCCCTTGCCCGCCAAGCTCAGCCCTAGGACGCCAATCCAACATTGTCGGGCCTAGCGTCCCCGCCGTGGTGCATGAGCCGGTTGCTGCCTCTATTCCAATCACCGCTTCGACCAGCAAGCCACAGGGGGGGAACCAGAGGTCGAGGACGAAGGGCATGCCGAGGGAGTAGGTAATGGATTCACGGATCATGGTCTGACATATTCTTCTTACGCCGGCGCTCATCGGTCACAAAGCACCTAGTTCCTACTTTGGCTCGGACGCATGGGATTCAGGCAGCCGACAGGTGAGTGAAGGAGTTGTGGGGATATTCATCTCTCCGTCCAAAACGCTACCAAGGCTACGATCTCCATGGGCCTGCCAGACTCCAGAGGAATGGTTAGAGAACCGGAGAAAAGTGCTTGACATGAGCAAAGCCTCATCCACCCAAGCGAGAAGCACGTCCCTGTCTCAAAGTCATCAAAAACGCCTATTGGCGTTGTCTAGCATCAGCCTACACTAGCGTGCGTGGACTGGGGACGAGGTAATTTATGATGAAGCTTGTTTTATTCCCACATTATTTTTTCAGCTACGAGATAGAGGTACTGTTCTTGTGTGACCACTGGTGCATTTTGCTACTTGGGCACCTCCCGTTAAACCAAATGCGGCCACTTTCGAGATGTGATCGGCCGTCTGCATTCGTCCAGCCCGTATTAAGTCCTTCAGCCATCAGCCCGTTTGTCGAAGCGTTGCTCGTGTCTTGTCTTACATGAAGCCCACACGCTGTATATCAGACCACGGAATCCCTCACCCTCGCTCTCTGGCTCCTCGATGCTCTCTTCGACGTTTCTCTGTTTCTAGAATTCCCATCCTCCAACGGTCATCTTCGACACCCATCAGCACCGGTACCGAGCACCGCAGCCCGTCAACATGGACTACTCACAGCAACCCAAGGCGGAATACCAGCAGCCCCAAATGCAGCCTCAAATGCAGCCACAGCAGCAACAGCAGCAGTATTATGAGCAACAGCAACCTCAACAGCAGCAGCTTCAGCATCAGCCCCACCCTCAGCACCAGCAGACAATGCAGCAAGAATACGTTCAAGGCGCCAACGTCCAGACCCAAGAATGGCAGTCAAGCCTGATGGACTGCGGTCCTTGTGATACCTGTATCGTGGGAACCTGTCTCCCATGCTTGCGTAGGTTCTCCCCTCCACTTTCTACCCCCAAAAGCCCCGACTAATACGCAAGACCCAACAGTTCTCGGCAAGACCTCAGAGCGCATGCGCGACCCCACGATGCAGACGTACGAGGCCATCAACACAGACTGCCTGCTCATGTGCGGCATCACCTGGTTCACCGGGTGCGGTTGGATCTACGCCATGATGAAGCGCGGCGAGATCCGCGAGCGCTTCGGCATCAAGGGCTCCGGCGGCTCCGACTGCTGCGTGAGCTACTGGTGCGGGTGCTGCGCACTCATCCAGCAGGACAAGGAGGTGCAGGCGCGTCTTTCGACGGGACCTATTGTCCAGGGGTACCAGCCGCAGAAGGAGGGCATGCACATGCCGCCGCAGCAAGCTTGAGTTACGGCTTTGTGATAATGGTTGTGTATGGATAGGTGACAAGGGCCGACGAGGCTGTGGCGTGGGTTTTGTCTTGGTAATGATGGATATTGGAAATGGTATACCCGTGGGAATTGGGGGCTTTGGGACCGCCGACTCGGGCTGATGTGATTGTCATTCGACTGATAGCCTCCAGCACATAGGCTTGGTAATAGTTCTCGCTCATAATTGAGCTGGTCGAGCTTGATCAAACGTGTTGGTATTTCATCTGATACTTCTCGCTAAACCCCACCCCGGAGTGAATCACTGAAGTCACGACTGTTTGACATCTCGATCGAGGTCTTCTTGGACGGTGAATCACAGCACGCTCGTCCACAACTACAAAACGGCTGTCGCGAGATGCTCCTGTTTCCTCCTTCATTTCTCCCCACCTCCCAATGCGAAACCGGCTTCTTTCTCAATAATAAGGTTTTGAAGATGGCCGCGGTCGTATCTCAAAATGTCGTTGCGGCAGCGGAAGAGGTATGCGGTTGGATACCGCTCGCAATGAACACCCTCGGGTAAACGTCTCCTCCAAGCAGCAGGATGAAACGCATGAGCTAACAAATTTGTAGAGTTTCGCAACAGCCTGTCCCATATGCCTGTATCAACCCTCATACAGACTGCATCTCCTCCGGGTCCTACATGGGCTGCGGCAGTCCCATACCCACGACATGCGTGCAGACAGCGAAAGCCAAGAGGGGATGCGAGCCCGGCCAGCTCTGCTGGTAAGTCCAACTTATAAACAATGATCCGAATGACCTGTTATTAAAACAATTAACGCGAACAGTGGGCCATACCCTAACACGGACTGTTGGACGTGGCACTCAGTCGACAATACGGCAACTTACACACTCCTACAATGCAGCTCAGTCTCCGGTGTCGGGACTTTAATGGCAGACTCATTCGTGTCCGAGGCCACCTTGACAGGCACTACGAAGAACGGGGGCGGAGCCAAGACCCCAAGCACAGCCGAGGTATCAACTCCCATCCCACAGCTGGGATCACTATCGCCACGAAGACGAGTCTTCTACTACCAGGGATCCCTTCAGAGACATCCGGTTCCTCGGGCGAAGCCTCGCCTGCTGCAATTACGGGGGCCATCGTCGGAGCACTTGCCTTTCTTGGCATCTTGCTGGGTGCTACGGTTTTCATCTGGAATCGAGCCAGAAAGAAGAAGCGACTGGCTCATGAGGCTGCCATTGGAGGGCCCGTGACGCCCATGAGGAAGAGAGATAGCATGATACCGTTCCATGCTGGAGCCATCAATGTTCCTGTGTCGTCTGTATACGATTACGGTGGCCCATCGAACAGCGTATCAAGAGGTGATTCTGGTGTTCTAGAGGGCGCGAATACTAATAAGCCTCCTCCTCGACCACCAAGAAGTCCGGCCAGGGATATGAATGTCACCGAGGGGGGTTGGATTTAGTGGACGGGAAGATGGGAGGGGCTCTAACGGGTAATCACTCCAGACAACCGCGTCGGTATCACTTCTTCCCTAGAATACGTCCTTGAACTTTCAGAAGCTCGCTTAGCCTTAGGTATTAATACCTCATAACATATATATGAAAGAAGCCAGAGCTGTTTCTGCCAAGACACTAGATAACTTCGATGATACGATTTGAGCCAAATATTCAGAAAGGATTTGATAATCTCTTCCCGTAACGAAATCCTTCCAGCCCCAAAGACATGTATTTAGTTTTAGACTCAACTCGTATTAGTAGAGATCAACGGGTATTGGTGGGCCGATGGGATACTCGAATGCGAGGGAGTGCGAGCCAAGCCATTCGAGCCTGGCAGAATGTCGATGCCTAGAACTGGAACAAGGTAATAGGATTGCGGGCCGCTGCGCGAGTCCCCACACCTAACCCACAGAGAGATTGATAACTCTAAATGCTTGCATCAGCCTCCTTCACAGATTATCCACTCTTGTAAGCGCTATGCTGCTTCGAGAGAACGAGTGAAGCGATGTTTAAGCTCCTTCCATCATGAGATTGGTGACGTCGGAACAGAACTCCAATCCTCTCAATCAACCTCGGATAATCTGTCAATCGTCTTTAGAGAAGATGATTGGCTACCTAGTAGACCATGATGTTGTCGATAATCTGAAGGACATTATAAAAGGCAGGTGTTTTCGCTATGTTGAAGAAACTTGATTGCAACATCAACAACCGCAATTACAACATCATCACACTTAAACACACCCACAACCACCCATCTACATTAACTCTTTCCTCAACAACTCCATAAACATCCTTCACAATGCAGTTTTCAAAGACCATCCTCCTCATCGCCGCGGCCATCGTCCCTTCCGTCATGGCCGGATGCAGTGGTGCTGCGCCTTACCAGGGAACTTGCCTGAAGTGCACTTCCGAATGCCACGACAGTAAGTAGCATAACCACCTCACACCGCCAGTCAACTATTACTGGACTACCGAGCTTCGAGTTACTGACGCACATATCCTCTTAGACTTTGGCGGACCCGACCGCCTGTCGTCTCTTCAGCGCGCTGGCTGCATGACTAATTGCCTTTTGCACTGCAACGACTGCAACTAGACAGCAACGTAAGGATTTAATCTGAAACAGCCCTAGGCGGTCGCATGGCGGGGTGTTCCAGTACCTTTCGCAAAGTTGGAGTTGGATCAGGTCTCAGGTGGTTCATCTTCATGGGTGCTTAGATTCTTTACCCAAAGCTTTGAGTCTGAAGAGGATATTATAACAACTCAACAGTCATTCTCAACCGAGCGCAATCAATCGTTCTGATACACATGCATGTAGAGCATGGTACGCTGCTTTTTACATTCATCACTGTTCCACTTCCATGTTGTAAATATTCCATCGCCCGTAGAAGGGTCTTTGAAGCTACACATACAGGAGATGAGCAAGTATGTACCACCGAGCTCCATCGAAGAGACGATTCTCACATTCACTTCAACGTTGGCTCGGGTTTCTTGTCGATCAATGTACTAGTCAGCTTCGACCTGGCTGTTGTGAAAATACTATCAACTCATTTCCCCCATATATTGCATGGTAATAATCGGTTCCCAAACCTTGTGGTGGTCAAAAAACTGCTCCTTTACGGCTTGCCTCGCTTTAAAAGGCTCGGTCTGGCAGTCTGTACATACCTGGAAGTGAGTGAGCTTCCGGACACGGCAATCTCTGAACTCCCCGACGGCAAAAGTCTGACATCTGTATCGGTTAACTGAGCAGCGGCGAGTCAGGATATATCGAAGGTGCTGCACTTCTATCCGTGTAACCGTGAACTTCGCCTGTCAAACTTCGTGAGGGAATTTAATCTACGAAGGAAATTCGACAGACCGATTTCTTATGGGAATTAGTGGAAGAAGCCCCAGTTGTCAGGTGAATATAATGGCGATGGGCGGAATCAGTAACTGGTTTGGGCATCTTTTGGCGAAGACATAATATGAGTGGATTCAATAAGGCGCCTAGCCAGACTTGGGCATCCAGGTACTTTCGCGTTTTCAATAAAAATGGCTTGGATAGTTCACAAGTCAAGAAACGACGCCAAAAGTATATAAAGGTCGATGCTTCATTGCTTCTCCAAGAGTCTTCGCATTACAAACCACAAACTCATCGGCCAACAATCTGACAACATGCATTCTAAATACTTTATGATCTCCATCCTGGCGACTTTGGCGTCTGCTACAATCACTTGCTCCAGTGACAACGCCCCATCGGGTGTATGTACAGAATGGCACACCTTTTTTTCTGATGGATCTTATGCTAACACGTGAGCTTCGCCACAGCCCAAGACATGCGTATTTCAGTCTCAAATCGAGGCCTGTCGTGGCTTTTGTCATGTAAGTGTTCCTAGCATTGAGGTACAAATCTCAACGAAGACACTGATTTTTCGATCAGTCTGACTGTGATTCGTTGTCATTTGTGTGCCTGCAGTAAGTCGTCGGCACTTTCCCCATACGAATGGCATGTTCTGACAACGCTAGATCCGGAGATGGACAGGGCAACAACTTTGACTGCTGGTGCTATCCGAGGGTCTAACGGCTTTGCGTGAACTGGAGAATCAGAGCATTAAAATGGCTCATGAAGTTTTCACACTCTTGCTAATAAGCTATGAGCTTCATCTTGGCTACTGTACATGAAGTTTCGAAGATAACACTGTTCGTTTCCTTGGCTCCTTTCATGTATTGTCTTTCGTCGCTGAAAGTGTTCGAGTTGCTTTGACGTGCAGCTCGCCACTTCTAATGAGAGGAGCCACCTGTGGAAGCCAGAAGCCGTCAATTCAATCAAATCTCTTATCAAAACTGAGCTGGATCTGATGTTTGCACTGGCTGCCTATGATATCCTTTGAATCATCTTTATAATGCAGTCATCGCTTTTGACATGAAGCGGACATTGCCATGCTGATGCGGTTGGGTTCAAAACGCCTCTCCGACCAAGTCGAGAGTTTAGGATGATCGCGACTTTGAACGTTTTGTAGATCTCCACAAACTAAAAGGCAGCGTGGATGAGAGTTGTGAAGAGATCTCTGATGGTTGACGTGGTGGTTCAGAGTAAAGGATTAGCGTGGTCAAGGCAACGATATGCATAAGATGGCGGGAGTTCATCTCAGCTTTGTTAGTTCGCGGACAAAAGTTGACTTGGCAACGTTGTTCTAGAGCTAGAGAGAAAAAGCTCATAATGCATTCGAAGCTTCCGAAACATGGAAAAGGACTCCAATTCAAGCAACTATATCCACACTGCTCCGCCGCTTACTCAGAGGACAGAAAAGCCCTTGGATTTTAGCCAGGACACCTAGCCATACAAGCTTTGTTGATTACCGAACTAAGTCGCGGAGAACGGAAAGGTTCACAAGAAATGGAGATCATTGATTTTCTGCTCGGCAAGGTCTAGATAGCCGGCCAAAGTTCAACCTAACACGAGTCATAGTCTTACGAACTCGGACCTTTGGTCTTTCCAGAGATGGCAATTGGCCCGAATTAGCATACTAGAGTACATCTAACAGCGACTACCTTGATATAAAGACAGACTTCATGTACGGAGAAATTAGTTGACTTATTATCTATTCAGTTAGCTCGGAAATACCTAACCCGGTATGTTTGAATTTATAACTTGAGAAGTTGCGAGCCAAACTATCCTGAAAGTGCCGAAACCCATGTAAGGTGGGTCTCGCTCTCGCAACTCATTTAATTTGACTTTCTAGAAGTTAATGAATTCAAAAGCTACTAGGCGTGACCGAGGCTCATTCAATCCGCGATATCCGAATTCGGGAGCGTAAGGGGTGAGAGTTATTATCGTATAAATATGACCTCTGTTCGGGAGTAGCGAATATCGGGAGTTTGACGGACACCGCAATCACGCCCCATATCCCCAAACAATACAAACACGCAATTTACAATCCAAAGTATGCCACCTTGATACATTCGCCCTTTGGCGATTGGAGACAAAGTAGACAGTCAACTAACGAAGACTAGAAAATGGTCAAGCTTTCGCTCCTTGCCCTCATCACCCCGGTGATGGCCGCCAACTGGGTCACCATCTCGGCCAAGGGAGACACATCTTTTGAGCAATTCAAAACCTGGGCCCAGCGGACGTGCCAAAACGACCAAAAGGGACAGGTCTACAGTTCCTCTGATATTTACGGCGATCTCTCGGTCAACTGCGCCAACGTCCCACAGAGCTGGTGCGACTCGTACAAGGGGGGCAAGAACTACCACCCTAGTGGAGTGTCTTTCACAAGCCCCAAGGCTGGAGCTTGCTACCAGCAGTCATGAGGCGATACCTAGTTGGAACGTTGGACGATGAGTGGTTCTAGGCATAGCGGCATGCAGTCAATTGCAACAACGAATCACATAGCTTGCTGCATAGTTCTGATTGAAAGACATATACTAGTGGACTCAAACCCTATGACCTATCACCTAAGGTAGTTAAGACAGAGCCTTGTCTTACCCCAAAGAACTTGATTTCTCTTTCCTTTTTCCCGAGAAACTCCGATCACCTTGTGCTACCCAAAGCTTGAACTTGAAGTCCTTGTGGACCAACAATCAGTCAAAGCAAAGTCGCACGTAAAAGCTGACATGATTCGATGGATGCCAGCTCCATTAGACCCTCATACCCGGATGAGTGGCTGGGTGTGGGTTCGCGAATCGTGTCTCAACATTCTCAATGACTTTGGCGTCAAGTCCGCGAGGTGGGAACGTCCGCATGCGACCGCGTTCATCAGTATGCCTCGTCAACTCCTGCCGACCCTCACGATTGAGAGGCTCAAGAGGTGCTCGTACAAGCTTCGCATGGTCTCCGTCCGGATGGGTCATGACACCAACAACAGCGATCTTCTCTTTGCCGTTCACTTGGGCCACGCGAACCGCAGCTCGGGTTTGAATGGGATCATTCGCCGCTCGGCCGTTGGCAGGCCCCATTACGTTTGCTCGTTCGTTTCGATGAATCACTCGGGCTGCCTGACGAGCATTCTGAGTGCGGCGGTCAAACTGGAAATTGAATTGCTCGCCAGATTGCGGAATGGCGTATTCTTGCATAGGGCCAGTAGGCCCCTGGGATCGACCCGGACCAGTGACGTAGTCGTCAAAGACCTTTTTATCATCCACTGCTTGGCCCTGTCTCCCACGGAATGCATGAGGAAAATTGGACGGAGTGCGTGTGTGAGGTGGTGGCACAGTCTCGAGATGTTTCGATACGTCATGTGCGGAAACCGGACCGTGGAGTGTATGGTATTGCTGTTTGGAAACCAACAGTCAGCCAATTAAGTTCTGGTTGGATTATCGCTTGCCAACTTGAGTCAAAGACAGAACGTAAACTTTAAGTCTACCATCCAACCTGACGAGTTGTGCCGTTTGGAGCGGATGGCAATACTTACAAGATGCTCCTCAGTGTTGTCCGTGTTACGTCTTTGCAGCGTAGATTGCTTATTGCCCATCTTGTCGGTCTGTAAGTAAGTTGTAATGGAAGATGCTCAAAATGAGAGATAAAGTAGTGCAATAGTGATAAGAAAATAAAGAACCACGATCAATTTGATGTATGAACTCAATCCGAAAACGAAAAAGAGCACTTCTCCAGGATGTGGTTGCTCTGAGGAGTTGAGAAAGAACGCTAGACGACGCATTCCGATGGCTCCTTAAGTAGATAGAACTCGACTGAAAATGCAGGTTCTCCAAACTCTTGTCACTCTTGACTGTTATCGAGGAAGTTCAGCGCTTGCCATAATTAGGGACTACGTGTTGGTTCGGCCGAGCACCATAAGTGATCCCTTCCAACATCGAACGATTGACCGTCTGGAGGAATTTCGAAGCGCCAAAAAGCAAAACCTTGCTCCCAGCATTGTCGCCGAAAGGAAAGTCACAAAGATCACAGAAAAGTTGCTGAAAGTCCAATGAAAGCCCAATAATGTGGCTTTCATGTTGGTTCGGCCAGTGTGCTCGGCGACCCGGCAGGTTTCGAACCCTTGCTGTGAGGCGGCCGCGGTACCGGTACGGTGGTTCGGCGATGCGCTCGCTGGGTGGGCTGTGCAACAGTCGGCGCTTAATATGCGTGACCACTTGCAACCCCGGCCACGTGAGCAGGAGACCTCTCCAACATGGAAATGCTTTCTCCTCATCAACTCACAGCCCCAGGTTGCCTCTTGCCTTAACTGCCTAAATGCCTTATTAACCTCTGCTTTCCTCATGATTCAACCATTCAATTCATCAGAACTTCAACACAACCCCGAGCATCGAACCGCTTCGGCAAATCACATCCTAAAATCAATTCATAAGACTATTTCATCAATTCACTTTCCCAAACCGCTTTCTCAAGCCATCTGCATAGGCTCCAATCACTGCATTGAATTATTTCACAACGACCATAAGTGCCTTGAAACCTCACAAATTTTTCAATTCTTGTCAGCCCGGGATAGCACCATGTCAGTCGGCAGCACGGAACCCCAGGCAGCGGCTCCTGTCGAACCGTGGAGAGCCGAGCTCGAAGAGCAGATCGCCGAGCTGGAGAGTTGGGGAGATGAGCAAGAAACGGAAATCGCCGCCATCATTCTCAAAATGCTTCTCTCATTTCCCGAAAAGCAGTACCTGGCCACTCTTGAAGCTTCACTCCGCATAGGAGCTGATTACTGGGCCAAGTTTCTCCCTTCGAGCTGGGATCCTCTGAACAAGCCTTACATGAGGGACGACAAAGGCTGGCCGATGTACCTCGATGGTGTTTACGGCACAGTTCTCCGTCAGTCATGGCTGCTGCGTTATGATGACCCTCGACAAGACTGCTTAGTGAGGCTCTTGATTGACCTGCAGAATCTGCCCAAGGTGACATATCGGGCTTACGGTGTACGCTCCTGCTTCCATCTACTTTTCTCTTCCCGCAAAGTTTATTGCTCACAAGTCTTACAGAAGGAGAACACTGCGTACCACAATGATCCAGTCTTCGTCTCAGCATGTGAAGACAATTGGAATGCTAAATTTGGTAAGTCAAACCAGCCAATTTCACATGAAGCATCTTTTCTCATTCTTGCGACAAGCATCCGACCGAGCTGAACCGACCGAACCCGAGGCAAAGAAGGATTTCATACTCACTTGCGATGAATGGGTTAACTTCTCCTCGTTCTTGGCTCGATACCATGGCTCCAAAGCATACCAGAGATGGTATAGCCATCTGAAGTATCCGAGCATCGATATCGAGCTTGCGCTTGAAAAGCCCCTGCCTCCGGGCAAACTTGGGGAATGTAGGCTGTTGGTGGCGTCCAATTGGTTGATTCACGCCGGAAAGATCATATATGAGGATATGAAGAAGGAAGAGACAGAGAGATGGGGTCTACGTAGATGGGGTCGCTGGACGGAGGCTATTCGAGATATTCTGGAGGCTGGAGGACAGACGGACGAAGTGACCGCGAGACTGCGAGCGGCCTGGGACATGATCCTCTCGTTGGACCCAAACGCTAGTGAGCTTAAGGGTAGCAGTATGGTACAGGAAAGCAATGAGGCTAAGGAAGTGAAGGAAGGCAGTGGGAAGGAGGGCAGCAGCGAGGTGAATGAAAGTAGTGAGGTGAAGATTGGTATTAAGGTGAAGGACAGTATTGCGGTAGAGGAGGACAGCGAAATGAAGGAGGATGCCGAGATAAAGGAGGATACCGAGAAAAGGGAGGACATCGAGATGAAGGAGAATACTGGGGTGAAGGAGGGCAGTGAGGCTAAACAGGTAGTTTAGTAGTCAATGATACGAATACTACACACCATTTTTAGGATGAACATCCAAGCCGTTGCGATTTTGGCGGCCCGAGCGGTGATGTGTCACCGGGGAGCGGGAGGGAAAGGGGAAGTTCCTTGAAGCCTGGCGAAGTGGTTTGTGGTGAGTCGATGGGAAAGGCTCCCTCCATCGCTGCTTTAGTTTGGTAGTAGTTGAAGGATATTAGCGTTTGTTATACGGGCCCCAAAAGCAGCAGAGGCAGCGGGATGTACGCGAGGGATCCGGTGGTGAAACATCAACGCAGCTGGGCAGCATCAGGTGGACACACCAAGCAGCAAGGACAGATCAAGACATGCACGGAGGGAAGCCACCTATTGCCGAGTGGTGGGTTTTTTGGCGGGAAATTCGTCTGCGAGAAGTTGAAAAGTGCGACACGTATCTAGCAGTTGACTATTCTCATCGCCAACCTTGGACGTGACAGGATCATGGTACATATCAACTGGTCAAGATCATGCTTGAGTGAATACCCAACTCTTATAATACGTCATGTGTGACTTGGATAAGAAGAACCTGTGAACGTCGAAAGGAGTAGTTTATTCGACGAAGCGTCGGTGCTTCTCGCTCCTGATTACAATTCTGTGCGGAAAAGGTTCAACGCGAGCAATCACACCTGGTAGTTGTTGGTATCCGACCTCAATTTCCCTTCCGTCTTCGTCCACCGCTCTTTGAATGTTGAAAGCGGCCAAAAACTGCGCAATACACAAGAAGATTGTTTGGCCGGCAATGTACCTTCCAGGACAAGCTCTGCGTCCGAATCCGTACACAACATCAGTTGGTAAAGCTTCATTGAACGGCTCAAGATATCGCTCCGGTTTGAACTCCATTGGGTCGTGATACGTGTCTGGATCGTGCATGAGCGACGCAGCCGCAGGAAACAAAAGCGTGTCCTTGGGTATAAAATAGCCGTTGTAAGTGTCGTCTTCCGTAGTCAGGTGCGGGAAGCCCATGGGTGCAAGTGTGTGCCAGCGAAGTGCTTCTTGAGCTATAGCCTGTACATATGGGAGGCCGTCTTTATCGGAGAATGAAGGAAGACGCGAGTCTCCCACCACGCGATCGATTTCATCTTGAGCTCTCCTTTGAACTTTTGGGTATATAACCAAAGCCGCAAAGATGGAGTACAACATTGCGCCAGTTGTATCAGTGCCTGCATTAAGCATAGACGCAGCCGTCCAGCCGATAACGCTCTTCTCCTCGAGGTCGATTGATCTATAAAGATCTTTGATCAAGCCAGCGACGTAGGAAACATCATCTTTCCCGTTCGCCATCTGCTCCTTCACGTAGTCGTAAGGAATCTCAATACCTTGTAAAAGATGTTTTCTGTAGATTTCGGCCGTCTTCTTGAATCCCGCGCCCGGCATCCAAGTCGGAACGTATCGTAGCCATGGGATTAAATCAACCATCCAGGCTCCTGGGCTTGTGGCTTTCGAGAAATCTTCCATTACCTGCTTGGACATGGCTACTATGGGGTCGTTCTTCTTTGGGTCTGTTTTATAGTTGTAAAGAATTCGCAACATGATGGAGCCGGCGAATCTGGAACCACAAGTCAGATGCTGTCCATGCACTCACTTTACAGCAATAACTATGTACTCACTGGTTCAAGTGGCCCTGCAGAGTATCGTGGTTGGAGTCTTCGAGTACTTGCTTCAAGAACCGCAAAGTTTCACGCTCTTGGATCGGTTCGAATCGTATGATTGACTTTTTGCTGACTTGAGTTGCCGTAAGTTTGCGATGTAATCGAAATTTCCTGTTGTACGGCATCATGCCCATGATATCTCCATATCCGACCCTGGTTGAGCAGATTAGTTCAACAGTCGATTCGCAGGGAAGGAGATCCCGTACAGTTCACCAGCGAAAATCAGCTTAGGCCGCGATGCACTCTTGAGAGCGCGTGTCTCTAACATGTCCAATACCGCTTGTTTGTCATGAAGAACGACGAAAAGTTGACCAAGTACAGACACGGAGGTGATTGGGCCATATTGCTCCTTGTGTTTCTGCCAATGTACCCATTCAAGAGTTTCAGAAGGGGGAAGATCCAAGATGTTGCCGAGAAGTGGGAGACCTTTGGGTCCAGGCGGCAAAGGCCCACTAGTTCGTTGTTGGATGCGGTTGAAGATGATGTAGCAGAGTAGCACTATGGCTCCGGAGTAAATCAATGAGATGCCAAACATGATGACTCGACAATTATTTCTGGTACATTCAAGAAGTTATCTGTTTACAGAAAGGCGGACTTGATGTCTATTGAGGGAAGTTTGCCTTCAAACTTGTGGACTGCCTAGTCCGATTGTCTACACCTCGCTAAAGTCAAGCTCACACAGTCAGCGAGGAACAAGATTCATCATGATTAACCTCTATATTCATTCCGCCAGTAGAAAACAAATGAGTACGAGAGGCTTATGTCAGATATGAGAGCTGACGCCGCACTAATAATCCTTGGGGAAGCTAAGTTACAATCGCGTGCACGTGAATGGTTTAACGTCATGGCAGGAGTCCACCGACCTGATTGGCATCATCGGACTAATCCCTGCATCCTCCACTACGTGCTGACAAGTCAAGGAGCTTTGGGACGAGGAACTGTTGTCACGTGAACTTACCAATGGTTGTAATCAATGAAGCCGAAAACTTGTATTTACAAGGTACCTCTTGGATCTGATGGCACTACGACAGACTTCATCTTTCGGTGTTAGGGACTGTAACTAACTTTTCCCAGAAAAGCTCGAAGCGTAAGCAACGTCCCAAAGGTCTTTGTTTGTCAAATCGGCTGTGGATAGAAGTAGACGGACGTGGCCGAATAAGGTCATAGTTAATGCAGATTAAGTTAGTAGATCTGCCGATGAGACCTTGACCACTGTACCCTTTGAGGTAATGCTGTCTCTGTAGCCTCATTATCAGTCTGCTTACCGCCGGGGTATCTTATTCCCAAGCTGACTAGTGAGAGGCTAATATGTACCCACCGATAGCATATTCGCTGCCTTCTTGACTTTCTGGTACTGGTGTCCGAACTCTGGATAGCCCGACCAGCTGCTGTTGCGACTGTCATGAATGTGGTACCACAAAAGAGACTCACACCTCAGGGGGGTGCATGCGGGCTCGTGTGTGTACCGTGTTGGAAACGAAATTATCGTTGGAAAGAAGCTGATACGAAAGGCTGCGATTCATCAATGAGAAGCTAGCTTGCTGGGCTGACTGGCCGAGAAGAAGAGAGCCTCTCCTAGGTACTTCATCGTGCGATCTCGCAAGTATTGGGGAAAGTTCTGGATCTGGCCTGTCTGGGACACAGCGCCGAATTTTCGAATCTATACTCATTGGACAATGGAAAGGGCGCCACCCAATGTCATTATTTTTCGAGCTGCCAGGAGGGTATTCTGGGCATCTAGGGGTGAGCATTTGTGCCTGAGCAGTTGGTGTCAGGAAACAGTAATAGCATCATCATAGATTATCGGTACCACCAGCAGCATAGAGATTGTGGGATGAGTCTGGTTGTGTTGACCAGAGCAATTTGCTGGGCATACATACAGTGGGGAACAACCGTAAGCGGTGAGGTTGATCAAGCGAGGGTATCCCTAGTTCTGTCAAATGGACATGTGCCTGTTAAACAGTCTCATAGAGTATCCTATGCCAACATGGCATTTAGGGGGAACATCCGCCAGCACCAGGCCCATAGCTTCACATACAATTTGGCCTAGCGCGAAAGGTGTGTTCTTGCGAGTGGCCGCCAAGTTGTCTTCTGGGATACGGGCAAAACTACGGAGGCCCTCCTTCGGCTGCACCTACACCTGCGGTCGGTCCTGGGCCGGGAGTGGGGCCTGCGGGCAGACATTGATTTGATCTGCCGCAGCTGCATTTCCCGCATTCGGGGCAGCGTCGATTGCCCAGCTTCGGATCGCTGCCGAGCCAATACTATTCTTGATCAGTCTGTCAAAGGCCTTGATCAGGTCCCCATAGATACGAAACACTTGTTCAGAGAAATGTCTTAACCTATTAATGCGTAGTAGAAACCCGCAGAACATATTGAATTTCAATGTATTGAGCCAGCTTATCCTCCGGCCATAAAGGAAGCCCCTGAAGCTCAGAAAACCCCTCCTTCCGCTCTGTGTACCGTTAAAACGACTGAGGAGGGTTGATCGTGGTACAGCCCACTCCATCGAGGTCCTGTGAGCAGGGAGACCGTTGGCAATGCCTCACACGAAACGTGAATTAGAAATGGATGGCTATGGGGCTGCCGGCCCACATCCAAAGTGTGACGCTGCAGCCGCGGCGAGCCGATGCCGGTGGGTTCTCGCGATAACCTAGGCCAGTAAAGTGGGGCGATTGCTTAATCAGATGATCTGATAAGATCAAAATTCTCCCACCTGCCACCGACCACCTGCCCCAAGCGCACTTTCTACACCCAGCGAATTCCACCTTGCTTTTTTGCCCTGAAGTCTCCCCGCCCCGGCAACCTCAGCTTTTGCTTCCTACAACCTCAACTCTCGACGACATATCAACAGCATCATCGCGACCTTATCGGGGACCCGCGCATCGGTATACTGCGCACCCCACGGTCGGCTTGCCTTATCGATGCAAACACCCGTAACTCGGCCGTGAACATGCGCGCTCCGTCGTCGGGGCTCCGGCTACCGCCGCCCACCCTCATCGCCGCACTGTGCCTCTTCGTCGCCTCCGCCTCGGCTCTCGCAGGCAGCGGCAGCGTTTGCTTCGACACATGTTCCAACACCCTCCGCCAACCGCAGTTCAACGACACGCAGTCCTACAATGGGAGCTTACCCTCAAGGTCGAGGCTCATCCCGCAGTGCGTGAGCCAGCTGCATATCAAGTCGCTCTACCTCTGCGCCGACCTGCACTGCGACTTGACGCACCGTGTCGCTGGCCTGAGCAATGTCAACCATACATGCCAGGCCTACATGAACACCTCGCTGCCGCCCTTTGAGATCGCCGCTGGTTATTCTGATGAGGATATTGCTGGCTTAAGGAGGTTGACAAAGGCGGAGGGGTCTAACTCGTCGACTGTGCTGAATGAGGTGGTGTTGCCTGCGGATGCCTATTATCAGATCTGGTTCGACTCTCTTGTATGGCACCCAAGCATCTCTCCGGACTGGAACTGAAGCGCTGACAACCCATAGGAATCCGTCGAGTACACATATGGTAATCACTACAGATATGGGTAAGTGCCCTCGATTCTGTCTTCGCTTAGGCGGTCGTCGCTAATGTTCTATGCCTAGTTTCTACGTGATTGTCTTCTGGTTCATCGTAGTCGCCATCGGGCTGGGATCTCGCCTCGTATCGGCCATCGGAAACCTTCAAAAGCAGGAATGGGATTCACGAAAGTCGCCTAGCATTCTTCACTGGTCTGCCCTCTGGCTCAAGCGATACATTACCGTCCCCGCCACCTTCGGCTACCGTTGTTCTCAGAACCTCGGCTGGTGCACCATCCCGCCACGCATCCAGAGTCTCACCATCTTCACCTTCGTTGCCGCGAACGTCTTCTTCTGTGTCCACGGGTACTGGATCTTCTCCGGCCACATGTAGTACGTGTAGCTTGCTGTACTCTTTACCTTAACCCCCTAGCTTACCTACTCCTAGTTGGCCGCAGAAGTACCATTTGGTCTGGCGTTACGTAGCCGACAGAACCGGCATCATCTCGTTCGCCAACTTCCCCATCATCTGGCTCTTTGGCATGAGGAACAACCTTCTCATGTGGCTGACCGGCTGGGACTTTGGGACATACAACAACTTCCACCGTTGGGTTGCTCGCGTCTCGACGCTCCAAGCTGTCATCCACTCCGTCGGCTACGTTGTTCTGGTTTTTGATGGTAAGAAGCACATCACCTCTTACGACGTTCAAGTCTAACCTGTATCAGACGGCGACTGGAATTACTGGATGTCGTATTGGCACCAGATGTGGTGGATCGAAGGATGGTTTGTGAGTACTGCCCTCTCGTGCTTTCCGTACTACAGGCTGACCTCAAAACAAAGGCTACCGTTGGCATGTGCGCCCTGCTGTTTGCCTCTGTCTTTTGGATGCGACGAAAGCAATACGAGCTCTTCCTTATTCTTCACATCTTACTGTCGATTCTTGTCCTCATCACCATGCTTGGGTAAGTTTCGACATCCTTCTCCTTTGACATCTCAGTACTCATGAACTCTAGCCACGTCTCCATCTTCCTTGGCCAGTTCGACATTCTCTTCTGGGTACCTTGCCTCATCTGGATCGGCGATCGTATCCTACGCATGTCGCGGACACTGTCCTTCAACCTCAAGTTCTGGAACACCTTCGCCCTCGCCACGTACGACGCGAACTCGAACATCGTCCGCATTAATGTCCCATACTCAACTAGCTTCTACGAGCCCAAGGCTGGCACCTACTACTACCTCCATGTCCTCAGCGACAAGCGATTCTGGGAAAGCCACCCATTCACAATGGCCTGCACAACGACGAACATGAACGTTAGAAGGAAGTCGTCCAGCGAACAGACCCCCCTGCTCGTAGCAGGAGAGCATGATATAGAGCCCATCTCCGAGGCTGGGTACGAGCCCAGGAGAGGCGAGCCCTCAATGACATTCCTCATCCGCCCCTATGACAGCTTTACTGGCCGTCTACGTGAGGATGCAGCAGCGCAATGGCCCCGCCCTGCACGCCTACGCGTCCTTGTGGAAGGTCCCTACGGTCACAAGCAGCCCTTCAACCAGTTCGATGACCTCCTTTTCATCGTTGGAGGTAGTGGTATTGTGGTGCCGCTTGCCCACCTCGCGGAACTCACCAAGGCATCTTCAAAGACACGGTCGATCAAGATTGTTTGGGCCGTCCGCGAATTGAGTTTTGCGGTCGATGTGCTGCGCCACGACTTTGAAGACGCCTTGGATGGTGGAAAGTTGTCTGTCGATATCTATGTCACGCAACACAGCCTCGCATCGAACGCTGCGCGGCCAGAGGAGTGGCCGGAGCAGGTGCGTTTGCTCCACGGGCGTCCCGAAGTTCGTGAGGAGGTACAAGATGCCGCCACCGCAGCTGATAAGGCGAGTCTCGCTGTCGTAGCATGTGGGCCTGCTGTCATGGCCGATGATGCGCGAAAGTCTGTGGTTGAAATGCTAGGACGTGGGTGGTCGAGAATTGAATACTTTCAAGAGAGTTTCAACTGGTGAGCGATCTTGAGACTACATAGATTGAAATTTTGGGTATAGAGCGTTATCGCGAGCATAAATTGGCGTCAAGCATTTGGATTTACTGATTTTATATTACACAAATACATTACATCTAGAGGCTCGACGTATCAGTCGCCATTAGTATGCTCCATCTTTCGCTTTTTGTGCTTCACATCTACAACCTCTTCCTCCATTAGCTCGCTCTTCTCATCTAGGCCGCTCCACTTGGGCTTTCCATCGGGGAGATCTACAACCCTCTGCCCATAAAAGATGTGCTTCCTGTTGAATAATTAGTCTCACAGCTGCAAGATAAGGAGTCAACGTTCATGGCCAATACTCACTGAACATCAAACTTCTTCCTCTTCTCCTCCCCATCAAAATGCAACAACCCAGGGAATAACAACACCATGTTCCTCCCCTCATCCATGATCCGACTGCCGCAGAACCCACAACTCACTTTACACGGCAAATCATGGCCCTGCAGATTCTTCCCCGACGAGTAGAACGTCAGCCCGTCAACTCCGTTATCGAACGCCAGGTCTTCCTTGTGGAAGATGGCCGCCCACTGAAAGGGCGCGCCATGCATCTTTTGGCAGTCCCTGCAGTGGCAGAACTTTGAGGCTAGGGGCTCATCTTTGGAGAGCCAGTAAGTTACTTGGCCGCATTGGCAGGCGCCGCGGATCTTCTTGTGGAAAGATTCGCCGTGGGGGTGGGATTTTCCTGGGGCGATGTAGGGGGCTTGGGTTTTCCAGTGTTCGTCTTTGGAGTTTGCGGTTGTTTTGGTTTCGGTGATTTCGGGTTTCTTCATGTTGAGGGTTGGGTGGAAGGGAGCACGAGGTGTATATGTAGCTACGGCGGTGGTGAAGATGGTACGCGAAGGGTGGAACTTATGGTGTTTGAGTCTCGCTTGGTGCTAGGATTGGTTCTGATGGTGCCTTTGAGGTTCTGTTTTATCTTTTGAACCCAATTGAGTACTAAAGATGAAGCAGAATGCAAATGTTTTGTCGAATTCTCGTGGATGCTGCGAGGGAGAACGAGCATAGGCCCCAATGACGCGGTGATTGGTGACATCACTGGCGTAAACATCTATGATGCCTTTATTCTGGCGTGAAATAAGAAATGTCCCGCACTGGTAATTTTTTTGGGACTCTTCTGGGCTAGAGAGAGAAAAGCCACGGTTTCGACGATCTATGGGGTAAGGTAGGGCGTTGAAATGAAATATGTAACGGTCGAGCTAAGGCGCTTTGGTATTGGGGTGGTTGGCCTGATGTCAAAAGTAGAAACATGATGTTTGGAGTCGGGATGAACCGCAGTCTTTGTTGATACGTGGTAAGTCTATTCACCACTGAAATTGTTCACGTTTGAGCTTCGAATAAACTGCAATGACCATATGCTCGGATGTATCTTGATTACTCTTACATCTCATCAAGGGGTAAGGGGGATGAGCTGGCGCTCGGACTGGCGTCGAGATGTCATCGGGTCATCATCGATCGGATCTATTTACCCCACAGACTACGGGCGAATCGGGGAATGAGTGTCCCCTGACGATCTCCGTTCTTGGGTAGGTACACAACATGCACGCCAGTATCCCATTAAGCTCTTCGATATAGGTACTCACCACGTGAATTCGATATCGTGTATTGATGGTCACAGATACACCTACTAACTGAAAATGAATGAAAGGTTCCATTATCCTTGCATCGATGTTTGTTTCAATAGCTTGTTGCTACGAATGTTGATTAAAGTTCCTTGCACAAATGACTTTTAACTGTATTAACCGCAGCCGGTGGAAATCCCAAAATACCATCTCGAATCTTCGATGATCTCCCCCGTATATAGTTGCAACGCTGGATGGCCCACCCTGAGCATGTCCCGAATCACGTAAATCGTACACATGTGATTTGCTATTACCTGAGCCGTAAAGGTCATAAAGGCCTGGTACTATCGATCTCCCGCGCCCCTCTCTTACGTTATAGGCTCTTGTGTGTTGAATTAAGTCGGCAAATCTTGTAGAGTCTAGAATGTGGGTTAGTAGCTGAACGATCATGTTCTGGTTCTGCCTGTATCACCTGCGGTGGTTCACTTCTTCGCCGGCTTTTCTTGAGATATTGCGTCCCAGGTCGCTTGCCAATTATTCAGATATTGCGATGTTTCCTTGATTTTGATAGCTCGAGAACATTTGCCACAACTGGGGATGCTTTGTTGCAGCTTTTCAGTAAGGTTGAGAGGGCTGGCGAGCAACTTTTCAAGCATAATTTGAGGGACATCCTTATTGCTAAGTTAAATAAATTAGCTAGGTCGTCTTCGCGATGGTTAAGGAAGTGTATTTTACTCTTTGCCATTAGTGGCTTCGTCTGATGTGCGATATTCAGCTGACATGCTGTCGATAATTCTATAATGTGACTCGTTGATACAATTGCTTGCCTGAGTTCAAACGCACAGCACTTCAGTCGGGGAGACCAATTGGATGGTGACCGGAGACATCGCATATATTCTAGTATTTTCCATGGATCTATTTTACTTCATTCAATTACAGTCGATGAAATAGCCCAAGAGCACTCAAATTCTTCAGACACTGCGACACCTCTTATCGCTCTGAGCACAATAGGCAAAAATAATTGTGACAGGTCCAGATACCCAAAGACACGCTCAGCGCCATATTCGCTAGAAACCGCCGTTGTGCTTTTTGAAATGATTGGCCAATTCTCCAGGCGCGTACTGCCAACCAGCTCCAGCGAATGGCGTTCAAAGGCACAGCTGTGCCTTCAATATCGCTGTTGGGCCACAGCCTGACTTGGCTGTAGCGGGAGGCCGCATCCCTGGCCTGAAGTGAAGTCTCTAGCAATTTCCTAGACCAGGCCGTAGTTCTTTCCTTCTCTCACGCGCATGTTTTCTGAGAGAGTGATTCCGCCTGAAGCGTACCCAGCCTTGGAACCGGATCTTTCTATCCAGTGCCAGTCTCCTCTCCTCCGGTTCGCCCTCCGCCAAAAGGGGGGCTCCAGTACCGCAGACCAGATCTTGGATTTCACCGCACCTCTGACGCGACTCGAAGGCCTACAGGGATGAATTGCCCTGAAGAGCACAGCGAGGTATTGTTGTGGGGGTCCGCTCCCCGCTGCGCAGAAGATCTCGAGGTTATTCGAATTCCAAGCTGCTGCGAACTCGATGCATCGATTTCTGAAGCCGGGCCCGCTGCCTTTGCGGTGGGCTTCATCGGCGAACGGCAGATTCCAGCATCGCAGCGACATCTTCAGGCCTCTGAAGTCTTCTATGATGAGTCAGTGGATGTACTGGACCCGGCCAGCAGCACGGCTTTCCTTTCTAGCAGTCGGGCTTCACCATGCTTCCTCTCTTCAGAACTCGCAGTATCGGTTCCGAGTAGGCGGAAAGCATCAATCGAGGACCCTTCTTTTACGACAGAGACAAGTTCAACACTCATGGCTTCTTTCAACACAATCGACGACTCGCTCACAGAGAATGTCTGCAGCTATGGAGACGATGTCGAAAACACCTATCTTAACTGGCAAGCCCACAATCAAACGAGAAGCTCCACGCCGCCCTTTCTCCATGCAACTCCCTATAATTTCTTTGCTTCATTACCGTATCCTGATTATGGAGAGCTCCCAATGTCAGGGTCTGAGCGTAATGCGTTCGTGCATCCGGAAGATCTGAAGGAAACTATATCGACGCAATTACATCCAGATGGCGACAAACGTCCCAATGTAACTCCTCGTCGAATCCCTCCTCCCCCTGACTCTGGTTACGGCTCCAAGTGCCATCCCGATATATTCTCTAGTCGTCATGAAAGAAGTATAACCAGAGATCTCTCCACACCTCTCATGAACGATTCTGATGCAAGAACTTCGTATTCGGTGGCCAGCGCCGTAAAAAGAGGACCCGCGCAACAATACATCATCGAATTAGCTAGCGGCATACATCATGAGCTGATCCGGCATTCCAATATCAAGGCTTGGCAATCACTGCCTTCGATATTACCAGAAGTCATCAAGTCGTTCGCTATTCAGATTGGACTCAACTCTTCGTCCCAGATCAACAGAAGTATCATGTACTTCATACACAAACGTGGACGGTGAGTAAACGAACATTTGGACATTTCCCATCATTGCTCGGGCAATCAGTGCGATTACTAAGGCAGCGATGCAGGCAGATTGGAACTCAGCTTATGTCAAATTTCGAGGATGAGGCTGATGTTGACGAGCCTCCCCGAGAGGATAACTTGGACCACGTGGCCGGCATGTCTGTTGAGGATAAGTTCAGACTTTGGGCTAGTAAGATGGACGTGAGTTGTCCATCACCCCCTCAGCAAGATCGATTTGAGGGTATCGAGGACACGGAAGAGGACACCCTGGGGCCGGCTGCAATGTCTGAATATCGCAGCATCGTTCTCAGCGGGAGTGCGTTCCAGTGGCTTATTGCACGCCTAAGGAATGAGATGAGCTTGCAATGGGATCAGGACAATTTCAAAAATAACACGCGCAGAGAAATCCGACAAGCTATACTTGAATGTCTTCCAACGGGTAGAATCAGCAAAAAGGACCCTCCAAAAACTCATACCGTCAGATTTCGACTTCTCGAGTGGCCATTCATCGCTGCGTCGTCATGGCAGTCTGTTGATCTTGATCAGGAGTTGTTTGTTAGGCGGCCGACGTTTGAGTCTCTTATTGTTGTACATTGTAAAGATGGAAGCCAGGCAATGCCTCTCAAGAACTACTTGGAGCAAGTATGGCCATCCAGCTGGATCAGTTTGCTCAATTTGTTATTACCAGTTATGGACTACTTTGAGGATCATAGTCCACAAGAGCCTTGCATTGGTAGGTTAAGTCTTAAGGTTGCCTTTAGATAAATAAACTGACATCTTCATAGTTGAGTTGGTACATAACTCTAGTGCGAGTCTGAGAGCGACCTTTGAAGGCGAACACTTGGTTGTAACCGTTCAGGGATCCTCATACTTGATTGCTGAATTCGGCGAGCAACTCGCGTGGCTCTCTGCCGCTGTTTCCCGGCACTACGATGGTCCCATCGCTTATCGTACTCCCGTTATTTTCCGGCAAAGCATTCACGAGACGGTGTTGTGCGAGGACATGATTGGCTTTGACATCACGGTGAGAGAGGAGGTGAAAGACTCGTTGACCTTGGAAGAAGTGCGTTGGACCAAGGTCCTGGACAGACGCTTTGTTGTCATGTCAGGGTTCCCCATCTTGAGTCGTCTGACCAGCCCTACCGGAATCGAGGTTTCTTGGGGGGTCCTTCAGGAGTACGTTGGAGAGTATAATCTCACAATACGAGATGGACGCGTGTTTCTTGAGGGAACGTGCAAGACTATCGTTTTAGTCAGTGGCCATGAGGATGTGCATCTTTGGAAGAACATCACAAATGGCAGGAAGCATTGCTGTCTCTCTACGGAACGCTTGAATATATGGGAACTTTGGGCCGACCTGCTCGCACTCCAACAAGGTCGCCATATCTTAGACCCCGATGATGCAGCCATAGATTCAGGTAAGTCTGCGACTAGTGGCTTCGATGATGACTTTCATAGCTCTGACTCTTATACAGACCTTTGTCTCCACCAAAAGGACGTCGGTTCAACTCCAGACTCTAGCGAAAGAGTGCCGCAAACGCTGCGAACCGAGGACCATTCGGGGACCCTGCGACGCGTATCAAATACACCAACAATGGGGAATGATGATTTACGTTCCTTCATTGACCTCACAGCAGAGGAAGGTACTCCGACTGAGCCTAGCTCTCATATCGATATTGCCGATATTACCAATAGATCAGAGACGTCAA